GGAGGATCCTTGTGAGTTCAAGACCAGCCTGGGTTACAAAGTGAGCTCAAGGCCAGCCTGAGCTGCATAGTGAGACCCTGTCTGAAAAAGAAAAAAAAAGAGGCTGGTGCAAGGACATAGGAGAGAATTCCAGCCTCGTTGTGGAGACAGCTTTCCTTAGAGACAGGTTCATCTCTGGCGACCTTTTTGTCTTTGTAGGCTTTTAATACAGAAGGAAGGGGGCCGGAGGGATAGCTCAGTAGAATAAGCACTTGCCTGGCAAGCGCAAGGGCCTGAGTTCAATCCCCAGTTCTGCAAAAAAAACCAAAACACAGAAGGAAGATGGTCATCTGTAGTATGTAGGAATTTAGAAGTGATAAGAAGCCCTAGCTTTTTTCCTCATGCTTTGGGAACGGCATCAAATGGCCAGGGGATGCTTGGGCAACCCAGGCTTGAGAAGGAAGAGTAGAGGGCTGGGGACATAGCTCAGTGGCACAGGCACCTGCCTGGCAAGCACAAGGTCCTGAGTTAGATTCCCAGTACAAAGACAAAAAAGCAAGGTGAAAAGGCTGGGCCTTCTGTGGGTGGCGCAGATGAAGCAGGAGGAAGTGGACCCAGTAATGGGAGCTGGCTGCTGTAGCAGGGAACTTTGTGGTGTGGACTGAGACAGGGCTGGAGGAGAGCACCAAGGAGTCTGGGGGTTGAGGGTTTGGCACAGTGGATTGCTGAGTCAGCATTAGTCAGGGTACACCCCCACCCCATCCTTGGCCTTGTCCTGAGCTCTTTCTGGCTTGGACAGACCAGGCAGGTCTGCTTATCCACTTTGCAGCAGACACAAAGCCAGCAGGGATTTGCTGCTGATGGACTCAAGGCAGAGTCAGATACAGAAAGCAGTAGATAAGAATAAGGGCCTAAAGGAAAAAGAAAAAAAACGAGCCTGAAATAGGACAAGGAGAAATACATTTGTACAGGACTGGGGAGATGTGTTTTGGTCCTAGGCCAGTTCTGGAGGTGGACCATCAATGTAGGCTGGTAGTAACAGTGCTGCTAAAAGAAGAGGAGGCCTCTGGCTAGTGAGAAGGGCATGGGGTTCTGGCAAGGGAGAGAACAAAGTAGGTCAAGATAGACCAGGTCACTTCCTTTGGGTTTGGGAGTCACGCACAGAGAGAACACAGGACAGGAGGGTGAACACCTGAGATAAGGGACCTGTCCTATAGAAGTGAACACACTTTTAGGTGTGACCTGGAGGTGGTGCTTCTGCCCTGAGATAACCTGAGGAACGGTTAGTGAGTTGGCCTTGCTTAGGACCATGTCTAGATTCTCTCTTGAGGGCAGACGGCCTTGTGGGGAGGACTTTATCCTGGAGTATCAGGAAGGCCACTCACGTGCCCCCCACCCTGTATGATGTTGAATGGAACCTAGGACCTTCACGCTGCACTATGTTACCACTTCTTTTTATATTTATTTGCCATTTCTTTTTTTTTTTTAATTTTATTTATTTATGTTCCCCCCCAGCCCACCAGCCCACCAGGGGGCAGGACTGGCTGGCATGTGGTGCTGAGGGATTGAACCGTGGTCCCTGTGCTTTGCTAAGCTTGTTCTAAGTAGGTGCTTTAGACCACTGAGCCATCTCACCAGCCCCCTTATTTG